TGATAGTGGCGTGTAGGAGACGGAGCAAATTTGTAGGACTGGAGATCAATTTTTCCCCAATTTAATTTCAATCAATCTAGTCCCCTGGTTTTGCCTGCTTTCCTGCACTCCGGCCCAAAGCTACTCCTAGAAACTTTTCTCTTGCTCTCACACCAACCCTGATTTATGACAATACTGCCCTTCTCTCTCTATTTCGAAGGGAACGGAGACCTGACTTACAAAAACAACATCACCACCAGCAAAAAGTGTCCACTCGTCCTTTCAGTGACATTTAAAAAAAACAGCAATTGGCTGAAGTTTCTGGGCTGTTGAATTTAGAGTCTCCCACAGAGGCAATTATATCGGGATTACATGGTATGGCGCTATGTATAAGGCCAACACTGTTTGTCTGGAAACAACATTAGTCTGAGCGGATGTAAATTGTCCCAACTTTCTTGAGTGGGGCACTGAACCAAGGGCCTAGAGATCGATTTGTGTGGCTAAACTACCAAGTCTTGATGTCTGTGGTGTTATAGGAACCAGTACACCGCTTTGAAGCGTCTTGAACGATCAGGAAGTCTACCCTGTACCTGTTCAGATATACCAAATTCGGGCAAAATAGTTTCCTGTCTTCTTATTCAGCATTGGCTGCTGGTTTTGCAGCTGCAGCAGCTTTGGAGGTCGCCTTCCCACCCTGGGTTTTCGACACGGATGAACGTGTGTATCGTATCTTTGGTCGTGGCGATTTGTTTGGTCCCTGCATTTGTCCTCTGTGCTGAGACTCATTTAGTTGATTTAAATTACTGAATCGCGTTCGACGACGACCCTTGTGAAGGAAACTTTGTTTGCTGCAGGTTATTCAGATTTGAGCTGCACTGGTTCCTTCTGCTTGAGGCAAACGAAGTGATCCTTTTTCGGGACGCGAGTACAGCAACTGATCTCACTTTTAGGAGCGGATGTGCAGTTGTCGAAACAATATTGTCCGAACAAATTAAAGTATTGACGAGCAGCATCCCTTCTACTACCAAGGAATTTTTAGTAGTGAAGTTAGACCTACTCATACCAGACTCAGATTTCAGATTACGATTTAATTTAACGAGATCTGTAGACTCTAG